CACCCTCCACACCATTTGCAGCGTTAATGACTCGCATGCATTACGGCAAATGCTTTGGATGCGGATCAGCTATGGAGTGTAATGAACGCATTAGTTTACAGCACGTGTCTTTAAGTCAATGTGAAAGGGAGCTCTTAAGTGATTGCCACCAGAGCTCTTAAGGGGATCGTAACACACAGCAGCGATTACAATGTCAGCTGAGCTCGTCTGTATTCCCCTCGCTGACATCCAGTGTCTAAAAGTGCTGATGCGAGGGATCCGACTTCATATATTCATTACCTTGACAGCCCTGTCCTAGTTCCAATGATCAATGCCAGGCATCACATACAGAGACGTGTCCTCACAAGACTCTCCGTAAACATGATTATATATGCGCACCGTCATTGTCTTTTATTTTCTACATGCTCATCAGGCCCATAGCCAGCATATTGGAAGGGGTGGTTCTTTTTTTCTTATTTTTTTTGCAGTTATCTGACTCATTTTCTATTCAATTATGAGGTTTAAATGCTGCATTTTAGTGATATTTTAAGCACTAATCTTTGATGAATTAGCTTGTCGGATGCTGTCGAACCATAATTTTTGATGTACCAAAAATATTTCCTAAAATTTTGTTAAATGCTCACAATACTATTTTACTACAAAGTATATGTTTTAAAATGTGCATTCAAACTGTAAGTTATTAGTTTTATGAATAATGTTATAAGTTAAGCATTAACAAATAAAGAAATATGAAAAAATACTTTATAAAAAAAAACAAAAAACAAAACAATAAGCAATCTGTTAAAACTTGTTTTGAACAAAAAACTGTAACGGTCTATAGGCAGCTCATTCAACTTTGCTCAGTCAGAATTTGGCCATTTTAATAATTTAATTTGAATTTCAATTCAATTTAAAAATGAAATTTGTCTTAAAGCCTTCTTCTCAGCAGTCAAAAATAAGACAAATGAACTCACATAGAGGGCAAACTCTGGACTTTGTCAGCGAGGGGGTGGGTCTTTCAGCCACACTTGTCACAGCTACCAAGCCGACCAATCACAGAGCTTGTGCTATGCATTGTTGCAACATGTTGTTACATTTTTTGAGAGGTGCGTGTCAGCGACTCTTAAGGCCATGGCAAGGGCTATCCAACAACGCATAGGCTGCAGCGGAGCATACGTGTGTGCTTGTTGCAGAAGTATAAATCAGCCTTTAGGCTATAGTGGTATCAAATGTTACGATTAGTTGCTGAAATTTAAATCACGGTATATAATATTATAACTAATTAGTTTTAACGGGTACAGTGTAAAAATGCTGGGTTATTTCTACCCAATTCTGGGTGTAATACGAACTAAAAAAACAACTGGGTTAATTTTTTAATTTAAATTAAAGGATTAAATTTAGTCAATATTACTTTACCCAATTTGGGGTTAAATAAAGCATTTCTTAGAGTGTATAATAACACAAACATACTAAGTGTATTGCTTTATTTTATACACACATAGTAAACAAATGTTTTGACTCAACTAAATTGCAAAAGTTTTTAAATTTTACAATAAGGTCTCATTAGTAAACGTTAGTTAATGGTTCGAAAACAACACTGAGTATGTTTACATGGACACCAATAATCTGATTTTAATATGATTAAGATAATACTCTGATCAAGACTCTCCCATGTAACAAGCAATTTTTGATTAATTTAATCTGATTAAGCTCATAATCAAACTAAACAGAAATCGAATTAAGACATTTGGAGTTTTCCGATTTTAGTCGCATTGTTGAAGTGCAGTACAGACATGTAAACACAGCAATCAAACTATGACGTTAATCGAATTATGTGCTATAACATATAAAACGGTATCATGAAAGAAACACTGAAAAAGCAACTCATGTAAACACCTTAATCATACTATTGTCTTATTCAGATTAAGGCAAATAATTCAATTTCTGATGTCCATGTAGACATAATCATTGAGGAAAAAGTCAGATTTATTAAAGTTGTTATTAGTTTTAAAATACAACTTAAATTTATTAGGTATTAACTACATTTAATAAAAGAATTACGACTACACTGAATAAATGATTCATTAAATTTACCATTTTTTTCAAAGGTAAGTTGTTGCAAAGAATTTATATGTGCTGAATTTAAACAAACAAATTAAGTTGAACATTACTAAATTGTATTTGTTTGTTTAAATTCAGGCCATATTAACTGCAACCACACACACAAAAAATGTGTAAATTCAATAATTCATTTATTTCAGTGTATGGTTTTAATATGTTACTAGTCATTACCTAAGAAATTAATAAAAGCTTTTCACTGTGAGTGCAGTTTAGGGAGCTTTATAGCACAGTGCTAAACATGCAATAGCCATATAACTAGTCACAGAATTTTCAATCAATATTTCACTGTGGAGTAGGCCAGATTAACATGCAAAAATGATATTAAGATAACCAATTAAGTCTACAAACATTTGGAGCAAGTACACTGTGAATATTCTTAACAAGCACTCTAAAAGTTCAAATAATAAATAATAATTCATGGTATTTTGAAGTGTCCAGGATTTCAATATCGTGCATGTTCATTATCATGACATATTATTGAATATCGCCATATGTCTAATCCTCATTAGATAAGTTTCCTCGGGTCAATTCCGTGATCTGCCGTCGATGAAAACATAAACACAGCGTAAGCATATAACAAAGTGCTGGACGTGTGAAGGGATTTCAGACACTCTTTCACCCACTCACTGGCATCAATCAATACATCACTGCTCTCCTCTACTGACTGACTGGAAACCAATGTGCTTCATCACTCTGGACAGCGAGACGCAGACGAGAGGCTCCACTGACCCTGGGACAGGCAGGCGCCTGGAGTGGACACGCACAGACGAGAGGAGGTAATAATCATGTCAAGGCTTCCACATGGAGGTTTGGCCTGCTATGAGCAAAGGGCACAAGGTGCGGCGGGTTGGATGGAAGGCGGTTAAAATAGAAAACCAAAGCAGGCTGAAGAGGGAGAAATAGACTTTTCATGAAATTTCACGAAAACGGCAACAGTATTGCATCAGTCATACCGAAGTTAAACTGATACGTCTAGTATAGAACATTATACTTTAATTAAATTTTTTATATTTTTACATTTTTCTGCAGAAAATGACTGAGCAAAATATTTTTTTTGTGATTTAAAATCAGGGCTATTTCACCAATATTGCTTTCCTAATTATTTTCGAGTAAAAAAAATATATTGGTGCCTTGTTAAACTCAAAATAAACAAATAAATAAATAAATAAATAAATAAATAAATAAATAAATAAACGAATGATTAAAAGAATGAATAAATAAATTAATTAATTAAATAATTAAAAAATAAAAATGTTGTCAGAAGTTTACAATCTAAATCATAAATCCCAGTTAAACTGATAATTTTACAACACATTAGTTTTTAACACTGATAATATTCAGTGTTGGAGAAAGTTAGTTTAGGAAGTAATGCATTACAATATTGAGTTACTTCCCCAATAAGTAATTAGTTGCAATACTTATTTACTTTATATGGTAAGTAATGCATTGCATTACTTTTGCATTACTTTTTCTGACATGGCTGAGGCTATTAACAATTATAACTTTTATTTACCTTAAAAAAAAAATATATATATATATTTTTATGTAGGATAATTAATGTAGGAGAACTTCCTGACCCAAGAGCTCTACATGCCGTATATATAGAATAATGACACTTTAAAGTAATGTGTTTGCAACTTTTGTACTTTTTTTTGTCTTATTAAAAAGTAAAATCAGTGTCCATTCAGATCATCCTCTTTTCCTTTTCTTCCATGTGTTCAAAATAAAGAGAATTTTTCTATCGCAGAAATGTAAGGCTAAGTGGTCTTCCGTTCTGCCTGGTCCTGCATTCTCTCATTGTGTGCGGGATTCAACGTGACTTCATTTTTATTAAGTAATCTATTTTTAAAAAATTAATTAACTAAACTAAAAAGGTACTCACGTTACATTTTTTGAAAAGTAACAAATATTATTACTTATTGTTTAAAAGTAATGCGGTACTTTACTCGTTACTTAGAAAAGTAATATTATTATGTGACTCACGTTATTTGTAATGTGATACCCCAAACACTGATGATGATAAAATTCAGAACAAAAACAGAAAAAACATTCTACAAAAAGAACAAAAAAATAAAATAATAATAATTGTGGGAAAAAATACTATAAAGATTTATACAAAACAATTATTTTATTTTTCAAAACAAATCCCAATCAAACTAAAAGAATTAAGTCTTTTTCCAGAAGAAAAAAAATAAATAGCCTATATTGTGAACATTCCTTTGTTCTGTTAAATATCACTTGTGAAATATTTGAACAAAAACTTAAAAAAAACTATTTAAACTATTTATAGTCAGAATTATTAAAGTGACATTTAAATAATTGGTTCAAGGCAAGTTATTGTATAATGATGGTTTGTTCTGTAAACTATCGGAAAAAAAAAATCCTTCAAGGGGCTAACAATTTTGACCTTAAAATGGTTTTAAAAAAATTTTTAAACTGCCTTTATTCTAGTCAAAATAAAACAATTAATACTTTCTTCAGAAGAAAATATATTATAAGACATACTGTGAAAATGTCCTTGCTCTGTTAAACGTCCTTTGGGAAATATTAAAAGAAAAAAGAAAAAAAGGGGTTTAATAATTCTGATTTAACTGTATATTAATATAAATGACAAGTTATTATTATTCTTACAATATATTATAATATATAATAACAATTATTATTATTATTATTATTATTATTATTATTATTATTATTATTATTATTATTATTATTATTATTATTATTATTATTATGATGATCATGAAATAAATGCATACTCGATCAGAATTTGAGACTTTCCAAATGTATTTTGTAGGTCAAAACATCCTGATAAAAATAGGATAGTGTACTTTTTTGTTCACAAACTGGACAATGTGCATGAGAAAAGACAAGATAATGGCATGTGATTGGACACTCACACATGGGTTTCAGCTGGCCAATTAGCTCCTCCTTCGTCCATTTGGCCCATTCTTTCTTGTCCGTATTGATGGAGCACAGGATGGGCCCGCATGGCTTCCCACAATCCTCAATAGCTGGCACATTCAAGTAGTGGACCAGCACGATGTCTGGGTTCTGCAGGAGACACAGGACCAAAAGAGGAAAGGCAGAAAAGTGTGGTGAATGGAAACTGACTGAAGAAGATGTTCAATAATACTTGTATCCTGGAAACAACGATGAAGAAACAACTAGGAAACTAGGACTGCAGTGAATACATGACTCATTTATTGTCACTAAGAAAACACTGATAACTAAAAAAACGAGCCAGCATAAAATATTCAAACAAATGTTCTTACGAAATTACATTTAAAGCTGGGTCAAAGATGAGACGTCCTATTTTGGTGTCAAATTAAATTTACAAACATTATTTTAAATTATTTAGAAGGAATATTAAATGCCAGTTGTCGGCTTTGAAGTTTCAAATGATTTTGTGAAAATAAAATTGTCACAGTATGGGGTGAAATAATGTTCCATCTTCATTCAGTCTAACAGATATATTTATGTGAAAAGGAAATTACTAACTTATTCGAAATTTTATTATATTGTAAATTAAGTAGTTTTAGTAGTAGTAGTCATTGTGGTGGTAGTAGTTGTTGTGGTAGTAGTAGTTGTATGTAGTAGCAGCAGTAGTAGTAGTAGCATTAGTAATTGCTGTATTGGTGTAGTGCTTGTTGTAATTAGTATTTTATTATTTTTGTTGTTGTTGTTGTTGTTATTATTACTGTTGTCCTTTTTTTACTGTCATTATTGCTATCATCACATTACTAACATTGTTGTGACTCATTACCACTGATTGATTTATTTCCGTTTTATTTATACATCTATATATTTGGTTCATTTATTGATATTTGTGACCTATAATAATTGATATAATAATATGTATACAAACACACGCATGCAAACACACACACCTCCCAGAACCTGACAATTTTTTTCATCTGTTCTGTCCCTTGCCTTTTTCTTCCATTTGTATATGATCCCATGTAATTTGTGTACCTCTTGCATAATAAAATAAAATAAAATAAAATAAAATAAAATAAAATAAAATAAAATAAAATAAAATAAAACGAAACGAAACGAAACGAAACGAAACGAAACAAAACAAAACAAAACAAAACAAATAATAAATTTTATTATATAAAATAATAAATTTTATTATACAAATTAGTAAAACATAGGGGTTGAAAGAAGAATGGCAAACAATAGAGTTAAAATGTCAAATAATTAGTATTTCAGGCTGATGCTTAGTTTTAGAGTTGTCTAATATTTTCATCTAATGATTTTTGTTCTAATTATATTTGACGGGATTTTATGTAAACTACTGTTAAACTGAACTAATTTTAGTGCCTGTAAACCATAAAAATTGTATCAACCAAACAAACAAACAAACAAACAAACAAACAAACAAACAAACAAACAAACAAACAAACAAACAAACAAACAAACAAAGACACATTAAAATACACAGAAATGTACAAAAAATAAACAAATAAAATCTAAATACATTTAAAGCCATACTTTCATTGGTTTAATATATCTTAAATCCCATTTTTGTCTTTGACTAAGCTGTAATTTCCAGCTTGTTACAGTTATATAAAAAGTTCAGGTAAAATCTTGTAAATTTTACATGTGCGCTGAACAACAGCAACAACAACAAATTAAACAAACATATCATTAAAAAAATTAAGGAATGCATTGCAAACTATATAAAGCTCAAATAGCCAAATAGTTAAGGTAACTCAAACCATTTGAGGAAACCGATTGCAACAAACCATTTAAGTTCAAAAACGAATCCTAATGAGTACTGTGAACTTAATCCATTTCATTAAACGAAGCAATTTAAGCACAATATTACCTGATAAATAAAAACAACTTAAAGAAACTGAGTGCTGTAAAACCCAATAAGTTAAGGCAACTCAAACCGTTTTAGGAAACCGATTGCAACTGTGAACGTGCTCCATTTATGTTGAAGTAATAAGGTATTTATAACCCACTACCTTCAACACTGAGTTCAAAACTCTTTTCAAATGAGTAGACATAACTTTCAGTAAATCTTGAGTTAACTGCACTCATTTTATTTGATAAACCGGACTGTTGGGTTTTACAGTGCACTGTAAAATTATTAGTTACTTTACTCAAAAAAAGTCAGTAAACCCGTTGCCTTAAAAGCAACAAGCTGATTTTCCTCTGAAAAAGTCAGTAAACCCATTGACTTACTGTACCTTTACTTTTATAATTATGCACAGCTTGTTTACTTAATAATTATAAGGCAACAAGTTTACTCTCTTTTTTAAGTGAATAGTTTTTTACAGTGTGGAAAATGATTATGTTGGTTCAGAAAAAAACCTCCTGATAAATACAATTTAGTTGTTGTGCATGTAAAAACTGGCCGTATTATTAGTTATTGTTAGCCTGCATATTTGGCAGCTAGCCAGAACACTTGACCACATTTTTGGAGAATAATGTGAACGATGTCCTTCACTGGCCATTCTCCTCCATCATTTGAAGAATGACTGCTGTCACGATCACTAGAAAACACACACAAACACTTCTTCTGAATGAAGGAGCTCAGCGTCCACTTTCCACAGGCACCACCAGCATAACATTAATTGCACCGGAAAATAGCGCTGAGTCTTGTGAATAAGAAGTAATCTATAATGAGCCAAATTTACATAGAAAGAAGGTGTGTTTGTGCTGAAAAGAATGACAATGATTTCATTTCAATACACACGGTGCTATTAGTTAAGCCAAGAGCGGCTAGTGAATAAAATTTATGAAACTGTTTGCTAACAGTATATAATGGGAAAGTTCATCAAGGTTAAAACCAGGAACAGAACATCCCAAACAGAAACATAAGCATCGGTTGAAGCACCTAATTGATATTCATTTGGATTTCATACTGTGTATATGAACAAAATCAACTTTAAACCAAGCGGCAACATCCCGCTCTCCCTTGTGGAGCTAATAGAGAAGTAACTGAAACTGCAATTCAATGAAATTCGGCTAAGCCTGGCTCCATAATATAGCAACTTTCTATTGACCCACCTCTTAATATGGCCAACTTTACAGTAGAAAAAAAGGTGTTTACAGCCTAGTACAAAAAAAATTATTTTGATGTATATAGCCAGTGCTGTAAAGTAACTAATTTCAAATACTCAAATTACTGTAATAGAGTAGTTTTTTTTCAGGAATTGTAATCTACTAAGTCGTTATATAAATGTGTACTTTTACTGTCCCTTGAGTACATTTTTAGCGCTGTATCTGAACTACTTTTCTTTAATCTGCAGTCCCTACCTAATTATTTTCTTGTATATAAGGATTAGAAAAATCAGTTCTGTGATTCCTGTCAAATTAAATCGCACATAGAAGGTAAATCACGTCATAATGAACTACCTCAAGACATGGGTGATTTATAATTGCAGCAAACTGTGGAAGTATTAAAAGTGTCCAGGAAGATGTCCAAAATCTCTACACGCATTGACCCAGAGACTGTTTAAATTCGGGTCACTGATGATGGATGTTTACTGTATGATGACCGAAATGGCCTTAAAAACCCAGCAGGCACAAGATGTCAACATGACGTGAAATTCAAGTTGAAGTTGTGTGTTGGAAATGAAAGTTGGTTTCATCTCAGAACCCAACGCCAGGTTAACATGAATGTCCAACCTAAAACCAACCAAATATCAATGTCTAATGATGCTACAGCTTGCCGTTGTGTGGACGTTACCACTATGACATCAATCAGATGTTGGATTTTGGTTGCCATATCTGACGAATAAATGTCAGTATTAGACGTCAATATGACACTGGTTTAAGATGTTAGCTCGACGTTGGATTTTGCAACACAACCTAAAATCATCCAGATATCAATGTCATTTGATGTCAAAATAACACTGTCCTTAGACACAGGCTAGATATTGAATTTTAGTCACCTGACATCACAACCTAAATCTAACCTAATATTATCATCTTATGATGTTGTGTGCTTGCTGGGCAATAACTAAACACATCCACAAATTAGATGTAAATGCATCAACTTTTTACAGCGTAAAACTTACAACTCACTACTCTAGAGTGCTTTTAAAAGGTCTACTTTTTACTCATGCTTTGATTGATATTTACAACAGATACTTTTACTCTATTTGCACTAAGTTTTTAGGCAAGTAATGGCACTTTTACTTGAGTCTGATTTTTCAGTTCTCTTTCCACCAATGTATATAGCTAATATTACCCTTCATGACAACTGTGAGGGGTTTGAATTTGTTTTATAACATATCCGTTTCATTTATATTTAGTTATATTAAGTCTGCATATTTTTTTTGGCCACTTGAGTGACAGCTAGGTCTCGCTGGTAACCGCCAAGTCATTCCGGCTGATAATCCACTGAACTCGGCAGATATACTGTATTTTTGTTTTGTTTTATGTGGCTTTACACAGTCAGTTGCCTTTTGGAAGTATTTATTACAATTATCAGATAATATGGTGAACTGTGTGCACTTAATTGTGTTCACAAACAATTCACATGGCCTCCATTTTCCAGATAAAATTCTTATTTTTTTGTATATTATATCTATAAATGCAATTGTTTTACTTAAGATCATTGATCATTTATATTTTTCTTTAGAACTGTAATGCACTACAGAATTTGACAGACTGATTAGCTGTAGGCTATAGAACAGTCATCTGTAGCATAGCTCCGCCTCTTTGCCCTTTTTGGGTCAACCCTGGTTGGCATAATGACACACAAACAAAATGGCGACAATTGGCCATTCCCACTTGTAGCTTCATTTTTCACTCTTCAGAAAACTATGGTTGACATTACGAATATTACGTCCATGGTCTATGCTTTAAACTAATTCAATTCTGTTTTGTTGACTTATTTAAAGTCAACACGTTTTTGCTGGACACATTTTAACTGCTCTTGAATAAAAGGCTTGGTTAAAGTGTAGCTAAACGGAGCAAATAACATCAATTCTGTTTTGAAATCCTAAATAGTGTGGATTACAAAGCGCACTGAACAAGAAAACACACACACACGCACCTGAATGCCATGTGTAGTGCAGATACATAACGCA